CCGAATGTCCTTTTTTAGAGGAGTCCCCGAGAGTATAGTTGACCTCTAGACAAACCACTGTATAGGCCACGACTCTCTAACAAGTAGTTCTGGTTTTTCTTTAGCGGAAAATTTTGGTCCAGGTGATCATCGGGAAAAGTTGTGTTGTATTCACAGGTTTTGATATTTACAAATAGCATTGAGTGAATATCTAGATTTTAAATGAATATCCATCTATTATTATAACCATGAATATTCATATGCAAATATTCATGAATATTAATGAATCAATTATATCAATTACAAACCCTTGACTATCTATGAATTTTGTGTAACTGAACATCGGATATTCAATGAATATCTATTCCAAACCGTGAATATTCATGGATCTGACCTCTACCGTCAGGTCATCTGCAAATGAAAGAGAAAAGCTCCAAAGCTATCCCAAAATAACAAGAAAATTTTGTTAGTAATAGAAATAAGGAAGAGAGAACTCTGCCTCACAAAGCAAAAGAAGAGGAATAAAAAGAAAAGTTAAACAAATAAGTATTTATTTTTTATTCACAAAAAAAAAAAACTTTCCAGGATCCAGAAGCATCCATTAGATAATAATATTAAAATTCCTCATCTCTGCTGATTTTTGATAATAAATAAATGCCTTATGCTTACTATTTTGACCCAAGTGCAAATATTCTACTAGTATCCTATCTTTGCTGATCTCTTATAGTACATTCTCATGTTCATCATTTATATAACAATATCCAACATTATATGTTGGCGTGTTTCATCTCTGCTGATTTCTAATAGTAAATACCTTATGTTTACCTCTTTAATTCTCACAACAATATTACGCTGATTTTTTGATAATAAATGAATGACCTATGTTTAACTATACTTCCATTAAAATACCAATATTCAATATTGGGAACTTCACCTTATAGCAACCACAAACATAGTATACCTGAATCTAAAAAAATTAAAAAGACTACTTAGGAAGAAGAAAAAAAAATAAAAGAGAGAAAAATGGAAAAAAGACTAAATATGGGAAGCAAAAAGCTTATTACAAAGTCTTAAAGTCTAGCCAGTCCAGATGAATAAATTCCCAAAAGCCGCAATGCACTAAAATCGATACAGCATATGGAACAATGATGATCGAAGACCTACTCTACTTAAAAAGATGAAATGTTGGCCAAATTTATGAGAAAAGTTGCCACAATGACGATATCGAAAATCTACCTGAAAAGATAACAAAAAAGAATTAGCCAAAAACTTGCGAAAAAAAAAAGAATAGCAATGATAAAATCACACCACTAACAAATATAAAAATAATAAGAGATAAGAAGTAAAAAAGCAACTACATTTTTAAATGATTGTCAATCTTGAATATGATTGGTCAATCATATTGCCTAAATATGATCGATCAAATTCCAATACAATCTTTTAAAGCTTTACAAATTAGTATTTTAGGGTTTTGTCTTATATAAAATATACTATAAATTGCTAATGAATATTTACAAAGACTAGAGACATACCTGCTATACGTTTCTTATTCAACTTTGCCAGTCTTCAATGTCTTATACCAGTTAGATATAAGATGCTACTGTATTCTTTGAGATATAATATAAAGAGTAACTGGATATAAATCGAATTTTTATCTGCAAAATATCCCGGGTACAACTCATAGAGTAGTATACAAGCAGTTTACAATTCTAAAATTTATTTATATATAAACTGCTAGAAGGTATTTGATCTTAAATGTTGATACAATAAAGGTATAAATATTCTCACACAAAATAATACTATTACTCTTCTGACTAGTCTAGCTAATTCAAACTAAAAACAGTGTTCAGTCCATTTTCAAGATTCAGTTTTAATATTGGAAAATGAAGCGTACTAGTAAGGCCACGTCTAACTTGATATGAACTGAGTTCACCTGAACCACTGTGCCTATAATTAAATAATGATACTGTAGCGGTAGTAAGATCTAAAATGGTATAAATTATTAGGATAATAATTACTAAAAATTTAAAATTATCTCCTTTAATTCCTCCTTAACATTTATTAATTCTATAAGGGCAAGATGTTTAACAAAAAGTGTCTATATCATAATAACTTAGACGATTTAAACATAATTCAGGCACATAATAAATCGTTGTCCTGTTTTTTTTATAAACCTTAACAACTTTTGGACAGGTAAAATAAAATTATTCTCTTGTACTATGTTTGTAATTTGGATGAATAATGCAACTAAAGTCGCTCAATGCTCACTTTGTCTTTTGATTAATTAAATTGTCTTAAAATAAAAATCATTACGCAAATAATTTTGATTATTTGGATCATAATAAATACCACCACAAGTCTGCTTGCAGTTATGCAAAAAATGACATTGTTGCTGTTGGTCGATCATTGAAATAGTAAAAATGTGCCACTATTAAATATTATTTTTATACTGAAGTCGAAATTGTGCGCATTCTAGTATTGGATGAGTTCTTTTCAGGTCCTCAAACCAATCAAGAATAAAAAATGCATAGACCTTGCTATTATTAGCTTGATGTATAATAATCACTTTGACCAATGCGAATGAGATAAATAAGTTATCGTCAGTATCACTGATCTCTCTTAACTTTACTACATTCCCAACTTGAACTTTAATATAACAACTGGCAGTATTGTGTTCTGCTGAAGAATTATCATTGTCTTCTACTACAATATAACTGATATAGTCAAAAAACGAAATTTTGTACGTATTTAGTGCAGCGAACATTTTAAATTCTTCACAATAAGCCTGATATAGATCTAAGTCAAGATTATTGTTATCTTTATTAAAGTTCCAACCACCAAAACCTCTTTTCTGAATTTTTACATTTTTCCAAAGCTTCTGAGTACGAATTTTTATAAAATGGTGATTGTTGCAATAAATTTCACCTTAATGCAAAATAAAAATTATCACGATATAGTGACTAGTCTATATAAAAATTCTTTAAAGCAGTAATAAACTCTTGATATAGTAAATTTTTAATAAAAGTCTAGGTGTTTTTACTATATTAAGAGCTATCTGTTTATTTAGACAAAACAAATAAGAGGTTTTAGGCTGATCGAAATTACTATTTACTTCGATATCTTCATATTCCAAATTGATAATTTGATCAGGTGATTTTGTTATATACCATCCAGAGAGCAATTGTTTTAATAGAGAGCAATTTGTATAATAACTTGGATCTGGAACGCATTCATCTTGCCCATGATCAAGCCAAAAATGTAATGCCTGGAGTGTGTTATAATGTCTTAAAAGATCAAGATCAATATTTTTTTTGTTTGTATGTAGAACAAAATTTTTGAATAAACCATGTATAGCTTTTTTGACACCACAGGCAGTATTAACTAAAGTTTTATAATTCTTGGCATTCACAATTAGATGCATATTGGTATGAAGATTTGGAAGATGGAGAAAAGATTTTGGAAATATCTAAAAGCAATGACGTATTAGAATACAGAATATCAGTCCCTTAGCCAAGAAAAAATCTCGTCCTTCGATCTATAGCTAGAAGTCCGTAATACTGTTGACCACTGTACACAGTATCTCCCAAAATAATACCCCATGATTGAGATCGGGTATTATTCACATCCTGTTTCTTGAATAAGACCCGGGATATAACTATGTTGATTTACTACCTTAAATAAATATATTACCCGGTTCTTCACACAGTATCTACGGGTGATATTCAATTTTTAAAATAGAATTCTTGAATAAGACCCTAGGTACTGTATACAGTAGTTAACGGTATATCAAATCTTTAGCCCGAGATTTTCTTAACGTAAGAACAGGGACATGAAAAATTTGGATCTGATTTTCTGAATTTTAAAAAATCAGCAAATAGCCTAATTTGTAATTTAAAGGAAAAAAATTCAAAATTTCACAAACTGCAATAATTTAAAGTCGTAACTAATAATACGATTAGTTATAGATTAATTCTGTAATTTTTAGTGCTAGATAAAATCTAAATTTTTTAAGCATCGTATAGATGAGCAGATTAGTATAGTACAGGCCAATTTTAAAACCATACTATATTGATCAGTTCCTACACTAACGCTAAGATATATAAAAAATTAGCCTTACTATACTGATCTGCTCACTTATGTATACAGTAATTTACATCTAAATTCATGTAGTTTTTCCATGTCCCTGCATTATAGGCAAATATTCGTATAATTGGCTATTTAAATCAAATTAATTTTACATTATTTATACAGTTTAAAATACTTTTTTTAAAAAAAAAAGCTATGAAGAATAAACAAAAAAGAAGGATATAGAAAGTTTTATTAGGGTTGTAGAACTCTACTATTAAAAATAATCGAACTTCTTTTTTGTTTTAGAGAAGTTAGCATAATAGCGACTTCTTAAAATTAGATAAAATTAGATTATCACCATGCTAACTTCTCTAAACCAAAAAAGAAGTTTGATTATTTTTAATAGTGGAGTCCTACAACCCTAATAAAACTTTTTATATTTTTCTTTTTTGTTTATTCTTTATAGCTTTCTTTTTTTTAAAAAGCACTTTAAATAATAGAATGTCTGTCTATGAGTCCCTGCATAAGAGTACTGATGCAGGATCGATTTTCAGACACTTGATTAGCCAATAAAATTAGGTATAACACTTGTTTATCTTTATGCACATTGAAAATTTTCCTTATATGACTTATTAGAAGACTAATATATAGATAACCTTCACTAACAGGATAAATTGTCAGTAATCACGTGATTAAAATCGATCCCACGCACTGTTAGCTTCCAATAAACATATTCATTAAATACCTTCGTCAAATAATAATACTCTTTCTGCAATACATTGAACAGAGTTTCAAAATGGTCGTCGAAAAATGTGATTGTGAATGATTGTTTTACAGAAAGAGAAAGAGAAACCCAACATTTTATAATCATACTGATTACCTGATCTCTATGTTGGCACTTTGTTGTATCTACAAGGTTAGTAATCATACTCTCTTTGATATGTTGAATTTTTAAAAAGCGATTCAAAATGTGAGGCATTAACATTGCAAGGTAAAATGAATCTAACATCATAAAACTTTTCTGATGAGTAATAGGATTCGGTAACTTTGACCAAAATTTTGGTAGTTCAATTGATTTCCATATTTTTAAAAAAGCATTATTTCCTTCATTATTAAAAAGATTCAGTATACATTCTATAAGTCTTTTTACCTAGTGTTATAAATCAAAGCAAAAAATGTAATCGATTAGTTATCAACTCAGCCAACTAAATGATTAATCAATTTTTGATTCATATCACTATTTTTATCTTTCTAGCCATTGCATGATAGAGATCTTGGGGCCTTGTTGGTGTTGGTCATGATACAATCAATCCAAAATGTTCTTTCTTGAACATAGACTATACTTTTGAGCAACTTTTAGTTTATTTGTTATGTTTTCTTGTGATTGGATTTCTGAAAATTGCATGTCTGTAATATAATGATAACACAAATATCGTTTAATGTCATAGTTATAATCTGTCAAGTCTTGGGTTTCTGCTTCACAACTTCTACATCTACGGTTAGCTCCATATCTTTTAACACCACAAAGGTCGTTACCCTGTGGCAGATTAGCAGTAACAACACCCAAACTACCTCTAACAAAAACCTCTTCCCTATTATACAAAGTCATTCGAATACTATTTTGTAGTTGCTGTATATCTGCTATAAATGGTTCTATAAACTCTTTAAATTTAGTACCAAATGGCACAAATCCTATGGGAAAATGATTTTTTAACATTTTTCATAGGCAAAAGGGCATATTACCTGTTGTAATATTATTATTATAATAATAATTAATAAAGATTATAAGACCAAGGTTGCTTATTCCTTTTGACATTAATTTTATACAAAATAACATTTAAATTCGTACAAAGTGATATTCAAATCTGTACAAAATGACAATTAAAATAAGTTTGATTAAATTGCGACATCTTGCAATTTAGTAATCCAACATATATACTTTTGGTACCATTCAAATCGTCTCACCAAGAGAATTTGGATAATACCGAAACACCTATATTGGATTACTATATTATGAGATATCGCAATTTAATCAAACTTATTTTAATTGTTATTTTGTACAGATTTGAATGTTACTTTGTACGAATTTAAATGTCATTTTGTACTAAATTGTATATTATTTTATATGAAATTAAATGTTTTTTTGTGCAAAATTGATGTCAAATGGGATATCAAAAAAAAAAAAAAAAAAACATTACCAAATTGGATATAGACCCCACCAAGTGAATGATAGATATTCCTGAAAGTTTCAAAGTCATCATGGTATAAATCAATGAAAATTTGGAAGCATTTAAGACTAGAAGGTATTGGGGTCAACTTTATAGATTCGCTTGGATGCTGGTACCGATACTGTATGGGACAAATTTTCCATGATCGATTATGCTTATAAACAATTTCATCCACAAAGTGTTTTTGCTTTTTGGGCTCGGGCTGATTCATAAACTATACCTTTATTTGGCCTCGAATCCACGTAGTTGGCATTATCATAAATTGGTTGTCTGCTAGTCATAAACATCCACACTGTGATTTTGAAAGCCTTTTAGATAAGCGCAAATGTGCCGGTAATATAGAATACAACCAGAGTTGTTGTATTTTTATTTGTAGGTTCTTCTTTACTTGAACAAATGCATGTAGGAAGCCAACCTGCAATTGATTTTCCTAGTTTACATAAGAGATGAAATTTCTCATTCGATAGATAGTTGCGGTCTGACCTAAAAAGCATATTATTTTATAATTGATACAAAATTTAAAAAATTTATTAATATCTCACCTTTAACATTAAAAAAAAAAAAAAATTTATTAATAGTTAATTGCCGAGATGCTAAATATAAGGCCACACAAAATCAATTTTTGTTATACTAAATTTTAAAAAAAGTAATCTAATAATGTAAAAACTAATCGAATAATCTAGAGAAAAACATACATAAAAACTGCTGACTATATAAGGAACTTAAAATTACAACTACGGTACAATATCTAATCAAATAAAAAGGTATCTAGAAAAGCCTTAAATATTGAAAGACTCTATTTTTATTATAAATATGATAAAATTGATAATTATATTAATCTAAGTTAATGACAATAACAAAAAAAAAAAAAAAAAAAAGCTGCCCATTAGTAATTTTAGAACATTAAGCAATGAAAAATCAACTTTATATAGTCTAATATTAACCAAAGTTTATTTATCTTTAGAAAGTTGCCGAATTTTTAGTTTCAAGCGATTACAAATACCTGGAGATGTGACTTTTAGTGTATTATCACTAAACAATGAGAATTCAAACCAATTGTTCCATGCTATATTTCTTTCCTTTCTTCGCCTTCAACTTCAAGACCGAAATACATCTTGGGGAAAAGTTTAGAATTTTTAAGAGCTTGTTGTATATAGTCAATTATGGATAATGTATATGCATTTTTAATAAATAATGATATAGAGGGTGATTTGTGAAGATTTATTCAAACTTTATATTGATGAATTGGAAGACTAGATAGTCTTAGTCAATATTGCTTCAATGAACATATGTTTGTGGCATTTCAAGCGGGTTGAATTGATTATTTGAAATAATAACCATGAGATCTTGGTAGGCTGCAGTAGCTAATATTAAGGGGATTTAAGAGGATCTAATCAACTCACCGACAATCACTTCGTAGATACCACATTTCACTGACAATTACTTACCGACAAGTTCATTTCACCGACAGTTTATTTCATCAAAGCTCGTTTTACAGACAGGTTAATATTATTAAGGTTAGGTTGGAATTAGAGTTAAAGTTAGTATAATTTATAAAAATAAACTTGTGTGCGAAATAAGCTTCAGTGAAATAGACTGTTGGTAAAATAAACCTGTCGATGAATAATTGTCGGTAAAATGTGGTGTCTATGAAGTGATTGTCGGTGAAATAATACAGACCCAATATTAAGTTAGCTAAAATGAATACTGTATATAGAATAAAACCAAATTATTATTAGCTTATAGAGCTTACAAATAGAATACTTCATCACCCAAATAAAAAAATACATTTCAGTAAAATTAGCAAAATACGGATTAAACACATTTTCAAGGTTTTTTGGAAGCTGATTTGTTGGTATTTCTAATATGAAGCCAATAACATTTATTTTATTTTTAGGTTCTTCAAATATATCACCCGGCTTATTGTCCTTCTGCTGGTTATCGTCCTCCAGTTGATAGTCTTGATCATAGTCTTCATCATCCTCATCATTCCTATCGTCCTCATCATTCTCATCATCCTCATCTTCTTGTTAGCCTTGGCTATTGTCCTCCTTTTGATCGTCTTGGCTATTGTCCTCTTGTGAGTTATCTTGGCTATTACCCTCCTGTTGATCGTCTTGGTTATTGTTCTTTTGGTAATCATTGTAACTATAAGCTAGATGATACTGAATTGTGAAAGAATCTTCCAATAAATTTTGACTTGTATTGTCTATTTCTACTTCAGCAACATTAAAATCCTAAAATGAATTGCATTTGTGAAGTTTTAAATATAGATTGTCAGCATTTTGTTTTCTGTTTCATGTATGTAAAGAAGAAATTTTAGATATGTTAGGAAATGTTAATTGTCAATATAGCAATATCACTCACAATTCTTTTATGGGTTTTTATTAGATAACAATGAAAAAGACTTTCAAATTACTTTAATTACTAATTTGATATTTTTAATTAATATAATATGTATTGGCATTGTTTTAATTTCCCGATCTGATGCATGATCTGATCTATTGCATCCTAATCAGATCAATACAATTAAAGGCACATTGTTACTAGCATTCGAGGGTTCAGTCACATGATTTAGACTTATCTTGATTTTTTTCTTATTCCTTTGAGATTTTCTTTCTCAATTCCTTTTTTTTTATTTTTTTTTTAACAAAAAGAGTTATTAGTCCAAGATAATATTAACCAAATATATAGGGAGACAGTTGGGTTTGACGCATAGTTTTGCATAATCATTATATTCTTTTGAGTCGGCCAGGGTGGCCTTCCAAAGTGCAGTTATACAAGGCTATATAATATAAAATTACAATTGTAAATTATTGATATCAATAACTTACAATTGTAATTTTATATTTTATAGCCTTGTGTAACTGCACTTTGGGAGGCGCCCTGGCCGATTCATATCCTTTTGTGTTATTAAGTAATTGTTTTGTACATTTACCCAATTAAATATGAGAAAATATAAGGTTTAAATTAAATTTGGTGTCTCTAGAAAGGTCCAATTCCGCCAATTTACACATATGAACAACATTTTTTGTGTTCTTGATTGCCAAATTAATAAAGGTTAGAAAGGGCATTAAAAGAATTCTCAAGATATTTACGTTTTAGAAAAAATGCTATACACATGAGTTGTCAGGTTTCTTTAAACTTAGCGTTACTAATTAATTAACAGACGAATTATTTATAAATTTATAATCGATCAAAAGTGCAATTGTGCAAATTATACATGAAGAATTTGAATTGCATAGCAGTAAAATACAAAATTATGCTAATAGTAGTAACTTTCTAACTAATGAGTCTATCTTTATAAGATTCGGATTTAATATCCAAATTTATTATCCAAGCTATTATACAGAATATGATCTCAATATGTCCGACTTTCCACATGTTGGAATGTCAAGCGATAGAGTAATAGAATTCAAACTTTTGATGTCTTTCAAAACTTGTTTGTATAAGCTAAACTCATGTCTGTCTTCTTTGTGAATGTGGGTTGCATGTAGCTTGAATGCTGCCTGAACAAATTTTCTTAATGCATCTTGTGTCGTTTTAGTAAGTTCCAATTCTCCAGTGTTTGTAAAATATTTATTTAGAATATTTTTTGAAACATCGCGATCAATATATCTGTTTAATATACTTTTATTTAGATAATCCCTATTATCATTGCTGTAAACAAATGAATATTAATATATAGCGAAATAACTGGGTAGTACAATATAGTTATACCTAGAATTCTTAATATAATCTTTTGCAAGATTCTTGAGGTCTTTATTGAAAGTATGACAAAATTCATTAAACATTAATTTACATTTTTCAAGAAGTTGTTGAAAATTGTCATTTGTGAGCTTGGAATTTGGCAATACTGTGGTTACCAATTGGTCAAATGCTGCTTGTGATGGGTTTTGAGTTTAAAGAAACAAACATTTCAATTCTTCAAGCCATATTCGAAGCCTTACCTGAATAAAAAAACAAAAGTCTTAACAAAACATTTATTGTATTATAAAAAAAATTTATATATAGTATTTACTTCTAGAGTTGAATTCATTAACGATGGTTCTTTATCTTGATTTGGTAATGGAGTTGATAGCTCTTTAAATATTGAAGGTTGACTCCAATGTGTTTTTTACTTTTATGTATCATATTAGCTATTGAAAGAATCTTAGAATGATCTGCAACGAATGTTGCAATATTAAATATAGTTGTATCTTAACAGAATACATCAGGTGAGGCAAAAGCTAAATTAAATGCTTAAAATATGAATAAAAATTAATATTAATGAATTGCAATAATCCTTACTCGGAGTGGATGACTAATTTACTAGTTCATCATTATCGTCTAAAAACATATTTGATCAGCTTGGAGACCATTCCTCATATAAGTCGAGATCTAACTCATTAGATTCATCTTCATGTGTTTGTAAAGAATCAGTTGCACATTGGGATTGTGATTTATTAGAGACATCCTTGTTGAGTTCTGAATTAGCTACTTGAGTTGCTTGAGTTGCTTGAGTCACTTAAGTCGCTTGAGTTGCTTGGGTCACTTGAGTTGCTTGAGTCGCTTAAGTCACTTGAGTTGCTTGAGTTGCTTGAGTCACTTGAGTTGCTTGAGTACTAGCTTCAGAAATATGTTGGCCAGAACTGCTGCTAATATCGGATGAAAGGCTTTCAACTTCAGAATTACATTTTCTAGAAGTAAGTGGAGTAATTCTCAACGGTTCTCATAATTAACTTTATAAATATTATTATATTAGTTTAATTATTATTATTATTATTTTGTGTCTAAATTTGCTAATTCAATTCTATCTTTTTTTGTTAACAAGGCGTTTAGATCTACACTCAACACTTGTAGATTGGCTTTGAGTTTCACCTAAGACTCTTATTAATATTTTTGAACAAACAAGTGCTCTTTTATATATATATCTATACACACCTTGTTTTCTTTGAATTGTCTTTTTGGTTTTAATAGCTAAACCTCTTCTTGCCATTTTGTTTTTAGATCGCACTAAATATAGTATAATCTGTGTTATATGTAGAATATATATTAGGCCATGCAAAATTAATTAAATGGTTTTCATAACCCGGCCGGGTCAAAATTTGAAAATTTCAAAAAAA